ACGAGCAGAATTTATCCAAGCCTAGCAGATGTTTCTCACGCGAACGACTTCGTAAACGCTAAAAGCCATGCAAGAGAGAAACCTCTGCTTGCGGGTTTTGTTTGCTTCCGCTTTGTGCCTTTACTTCTTACTTGATATTCTCTAGTTTGTGCTCACGGTCGTTACTTCTTTTATGAGGTCGTTTGTCTGGCGTGCTTCAGATATTTTCTCGATAGCCTTGTTCTTTTTCTTATTTATTCACGTTTAATTTTCTCACATATCTCTGTTCAGTGTGCAGTTGTAATTTATTATGTTGAGTGCAAAATTACTCTGATAGTGTTACTGGTGTTAGTTTTTCTGCTATAAATTTTAAGTGATTTATTTGTGATTTTACGTTATTTTAATTACTCTGGCGTTAGTTATGCCGCCCGCTTTGCTGTAGTTTTGCTATCTAATAAACGAGATGCCTATTCCTGATTTTGTTTGCGTTGTTGTACATTAGAGTGAAAATAATTTGTTCTCGTTTCACTGCAGAGTGAGAACAATGTAAATTTCGGAGGCTTGGATGTGACAGAGAAAGTCGCGGGTTTAGGTTGAATAACCTCAGCGCGCATGCTCTCTAGCTGACATAGCCCGCTTTAAAAGGAGCTATACTCTTAAAAGAGTTTATTACATTGAGGATCTTTTATTACATTAAGGCCTTCTACAACTTTAATCCCATGTCTAAATTGCAGTCAAAACTCATAAGAATTTGGCGTGCACCCTCATTCTCTCCGAGTGAATGCACACTGAAATGCCTCATACAATTACAATATTGAAGTAATGAACCGTTCACCCAATAGATCATTCTTTTTGCTCACACTGCATGACCCGCTGTTTTTCACATTGCTTTGTTTTGTGTAGTTGCTATAGTTTGGTGTCAAGGCGGAATGTTTCTAAATTATTCAATCACACGAAACAGTGCCGGGGGCTGTTGTTTGTTTCACACGCAACGACAAGTCATCATTCGAACCAACCGAGAAGTATCGACTTTTCTGAGTTTCACTTTCGCTTTCGTCAGCTTTCATGTATTAGGACAGCTTAAGCATAACGAAAACCATTTGAGACACTTATGCACGTATTTGGAATCATGGTATACCTTTCTTTCCACCATTAAATGTCTTTCCTGCATTTGGCGAACGACAAAGAAACAAATTCCATATACAGTAGAGGTCTGACTGAAAATGGTTGTCAAAGCAGCAAAAAACAGTCCCTTGCTCACGCAATTAAAATAAATAAAAAATCGAAGCCGTTATTCAAAAACTAAAGTAAAGAACCTATGAAATAAAAGCAGATTGAGGTCTTTGCTTTTATTTTCCATGCGCAAGATATTCCAGGAAAGGTTTTACCCAAATGTATATATAGAGCTTTGTATAATACATCAAACAACGTTGTTCAAAGTCAGGATGGTAAATCCAGAATAACATTATATCGCCTCAAAAAACTGGAAAAAAACGACTCTTGCTGATATTTCGTCTTCATTAAAAGACTTCGACAGGGCAACTGACTAAGTTGTTAGAACTGTTACAATAAATTATACACGCCATTTAACGTAAGACGCTCCAGGACGCTATTCCAGAAATAAAGAGCGCGCACTAACCCGGCATTGCAAAGAAATGAGCTTTGTATAGTGGTAAAGTGGGGGCCAGCCCGGTTAGCCGGCCTGAAGAACGTCTGCGTTTGAGGCTAGCTTGGTTCATACCTTGTTTCCTCTTAAAATTGACGTTGTGTTTATATGAGAAGGTAGGCTGATTCGCTTGCCGAGATCGTCACGCAAAAGCTTCGAAATTCAAACATACTCCAACACAGAACGAAAACAACACTAGCTATCGAAATGAAAATTTTAAACAGATAATAAGCGTTTAGCTGCACTAATATCTAACTACATTAAAAACTCGGAAGGGCTAATCCTTTGACACCTGAAACCGAGACGTGTACATCAAACGCTTCGACTACAAAAGCGGCGATGCAACTGAACTCGCGACTCAGTTTCACTCTACGCCCCAAGCAAGCAAAACTGGTCAGCTGAGAAGCCACTCTCGTTTTCCTAACCGCTTGGTAAACAGAAAAGAAGGTACAGATGAGACATTTAACACTTACTTGAAATGGTAGATCCAATTAGTTCTTGATGACCGATGAACGCTTGGTAGCACATAAGACTAAAGACAGCATTAAAAATAGGCAATCAGACGATGCGCCGATGAAACTTCCCTGGAAAACCACGTTTGATATCAATTCTTTGACTTGTGAATTTGCTGACACTGAACGTTAACTTTGGAAACGTCAGCTAAATTGTTTCTAAGCTTGAAAGGAAAGCTTCTGAGTTGCAAGGGAGCTTCCATGCCTTTCTACATATCGAAAACGTCGATTGGAAATGCTGATTGGCGGAGATTTTAATTGTTAAAGACGTCATTGCGCTCAGTAACAACAAAAGGGAAAGACAAAAGTTTATAAATAAGCAGGAGATATAACAAAAGTACTGCCTGCAGCTTAGCAAAGGTTATTCGAGGCTAAGCTCACGTGATAATGTCACGGGCGACGAACGCTGACAAACTGACAGCGAATAAATTTCTACTGACAACTTCTGGGCTCTAGTCAAGTGCAGATCTCAGCTTGTCTTCTCATTGCTTCACAGAAACAACAATCTTTATAATTCGATACAAATTTTTCTTCCTACAAATAATCGTCTGATGATGCGCAATGTCGTCCAACTATGTTTGTCTGCAAATAATATTCTCCTCGTGCGTAAATATTGAAACCCTTGTAATTTTTAAAAAGACTCAATTTGCCCTAGGAGCTAAAAAAAATGAGCGGCAGTGGAAACATTGGGAACAAGAACATGTACGACATTTCCTCCATAAAACGTGAAAACCAGGAAGTTTCTGGACGTTTCACGTTGTAGCGGGATGCAAAACAACGGCAAGGAAATGTGCTAAAAGTGTGCTGCAATTAGACCTATTTTTGTTTTTCACATTTCTCATTTCCTTCTCCGCTCACCATTACACGATTTTATGTTTAGTATGAGCAAACTATAAATATTATCGAGAGCTTTGCTTTTAACCTTGACAAAATATATTTATTAGCGCCGCAAAGAATGCATTTTTAGAGATCTAATTAAAAGTACCCTGGACAGCCTTAAAAGTGTTTACAATGCATTTAGGGGGAAATCGTCGTTGGGTGCCCTTGAGTTTTGAAAATAATAATAAAAACAGATATCGCGGAAATAAATTTTTCATTACCATATCTTCCATTCAGCTGCATAGCCGGGGCCAGAATTTGCATTTTCCCTTAAGGTGGAAAATCCTCGTCCTCCCTCGCCACTTTGGACAACATATTGTGGAGTAAGACGTAGTTCTGGAAAGAACTGTTTATTTAATTAATCTAAGCAAGTAGGTCCAGTAGAGTCAAGAACCTATGCAAGCGCTGGAAGAACAATGTGACAGCAGCTGTGGCAGCGAATGTTAGAAGAATTTGAACTTGAAAACCAGGGCCGCCCTTGAAAACTGTTTACGGACAGTTAGTCCGGCGGCTTCGTTAGAAAATCATACGATTTTTGATACAAGCGCCAAACTTTGTAGGAATATTTACATTCCCAGGCTGGTGATATCCTGATATAGTGCCAAGCTTAGTTTTTCAATTTCAGCTAGTTAGCAGCGAATGAAATTTTCACACCCTATACCCCCCGCGAAGTTATTTTTCTTGCTCTTTTTTTAGATTTAAAGTGGCCATAACGAATCTTTTTATCTTCTCATCCAAATCTATGCATAAGGCAATGACGTTTCCCGAAAAAAGCTTTTGATTCCAACCAAAAGCGATTTTTTAAAAGATTTTTCAAGCCTTTTTGAAATTTGCCGCCATTTTTGGATTAGGAGAAAAATGTGGGTACCGGGGAGGACGTTTTATTTCAAAATACAGGTACAAAAATATACACGTTTAAGTTTTGATGCGAATTTTTATTGTTATTTCCCTCTCTTTATATATAAATGTAGGCCATATTTTGGAATTTATCTTCACATGCCTTTTCTCTCCTTTCTTTTGGTTGAATTGGTTCGGATGGTAAGAGTTTGTGCTGTCTCATTCTAAATATGCATGCGACTCGGTTTAGCTAAAAAAAATTATTCTAGTCATATAACAGAGAAAACCGTCGGTTAAAAATAAAAATGAAGTAAGAAATAGGTTAATTTGAAGACCAAGGAAACAGGTCGCTGCCTCAAGCAATTAACTGGTTTCAATGTGTTATTTGCCAGAAGGAAACAACTGAAAATCCTCAGTGTCCGGTTAACTGGAAACGGCACTACTCTTGCATGTGCTGGATAACCTATTTTTGAAAAAGACTTTATTCTTCATCAAGTATTTTGAGGAAATTTCGTCCAACGTTTGTGGCTACATTTTTGCTATATGTGGGGTTACTGTGGGGTTTTACCAGATGATTTCTCTTCGGGAAAATCACACAATAAATCACTTTCGCGGCAATGATAACACTTCCAGAAACCACTCATAAAAACTCTCGCTTGCTTCACATAAAGCACATGAAAACATTGATCATACAATCCTTTTTTTTCAAGATTCCGGATGTAGACCACCGGGCCCTCCTTCAAAATAATTTTTATTAACAACCCTTGCAAAAGAATGAGCACCGAGCTAAGTAAGCACGTATGGAAACTCAATAACATTAACTTCCGCATCATCTGGAAGATTTTGAAGCAGGCTACCGCCTACAACCCCTCTTCCAAATTAAACGGTGCAATTTATGTCTGTTGGGGGAAGTATTCGTCATCTGGCCTCATCTCGCCACTGATATTGCAGCCTAGTCCCTAGGCGTTCTCTCTTGCCCCGTTGTCCGTGTGAAGTCTGGGAAAGAGCGGGCGAGAGAACGCCTAGCCAATATTGGCAAAATACCCCTGATTTTAGCGGAATTTTACCCCTGGTGACATTTTACGAGTTTCTACAGCTCCATTTTGGAAAAACTGCTCGCCGATAGT